TCTGCTTGGCAGTAAGCTTTCCTCAGCTGCCTGTTCAGGGTTCACCCCCTCTTCTGTGAAAAAAGTGACTTTCATGGAACTGGATAATAGTTTTTTGTTTGTTTGTTTGTTTGTTTGTTTTCCTAAATGCTGGAAAAATATTTCAATATTTTGGTATATTATTATAGTATCACAGCCACAGACATGACATACTTTTGAATTTCATTGGCTTTTTATTTATTTTTTTTTTTTATTTTTTTTTTTTTTAAAGATTTTATTTATTTATTTGACAGAGAGAGAGATCACAAGTAGACGGAGAGGCAGGCAGAGAGAGAGAGAGAGAGAGAGGGAAGCAGGCTCCCTGCTGAGCAGAGAGCCCGATGCGGGACTCGATCCCAGGACCCTGAGATCATGACCTGAGCCGAAGGCAGCGGCTTAACCCACTGAGCCACCCAGGCGCCCTCATTGGCTTTTTAAAGACATTCTCTCTTGCTTTCTGGGGTTCAGACAGTCCACAGAGCCATACATTGAGCTCTAATCTCTCATATTTGCTGACTTCCATGGTTTACTTGCTGCCACCAGGGCTGATTCCAAGTGACCAATATGGTGGCATGGAAGGTATAGATGAGAAGAGGTGTGCGGTAACACCCCTTCCTGTAGCATTTCCATGATACAAATACCAGAGGCATGAAGAGCAAATGGAACAACAAAGTGAAATCAAGAACGTCAGAAAGTAAGGAGGCTTGATTGAGTTCATTATCTTTGCTTTAAATTGAATTTACTTGGTGTGGAATTTTATGTTTTAATAATTAACAATCAGCTCTCAACATTGCTGAAATGGTAACATTCACTGGTCATAAGCCAGCATAAACCGGTACAGGCTGCCACTGGACTGGACTCGGCTGACACTGAGTGGTTTCTAATCCATCAGCCAGACTTCCTGCCCCTCCACTGCTGTACGCTGATCCTTCACATGTCAAAGATGTACACACCCTACTCCGTCAGCCATGATTTCAAATTCAATAAAGCCCTGAAAATGGCGACTGTGATGCAAGCCAGATCTGAACCCTCATGCAGCCTATCACTCTACTTTTAATGTCACGTATTTTCCTGAAAAAATGTTCATGTGTTTGATTATGGGGAGCTGTCCCAGACCTCTCCTGGGGACATCAGATAAAACACATATGCATTGTTTTCCCTTTCAAAAATTTGAAAAATTCTCAATCTGATTCACATCTGGTTCCAAAAGTTTTATATAAGGGATTGTGGGCCTTTAGTGATCCTTATAAAGTAGAAATAGAGTCACACTTTGGTTACCCATCAGTGCCTCCCCGTAGCCTACGGTGCAGAATCTAAGTTCTTAAACATGATACTCAAGGCCCTTTAGCCCTCACGATTGTGCCCACATCACCCTCCTGTATCAAACCACTTCTGGGACTCTCCCACTTAAAGGTTGAGCTGAGCTCATTAGTCACCCCACATCTACACATCACATCCTTTCGGCAAGAATCAGAACCCAGCTAGGGCAGGAACGCAGTCTGCCTTCTTTGCTTTATCTGTTATATGATCTTCATCTGCCTACTTCCTCCTCCTTCACCTCCAGTTCTCACCTGTCAAATGGCAGTCACAAAACCAGCAAGGCTGTCACACACATAAAGCAAGTTCATTGACACCAAGTTAGCTTGTCATGTGCCCTATAGTTTAAAGGAGTCTTCACTCTAACATTCTGAAACTGAAAAAGTTGTTTGAAAGCAAACATTCTTTAAAAATTGCTGGATAGTAGCTAGGGGCTTCTCATTTCCATAAAAGGAGCTAACCATTGATGTGCATAAAGCCCAGTCATTTCTACCACACACAGAAAAGCCTTACACTTTGCAAGAGCCTTGTGTGGTTGGTGCAGTTGGGGAAGCTGACCTATAGAACAGTCTCTGTAACTCATAAGAACTGAATGAATGGGTCTCATCCCATTAGAAAAAAGAGAAAAGGAGGGCAAGAGTAGCCCCAGGCTCTCACCTTTCTGGGCCTGAATATTTATAGGTTTGTTTAGGTGTGTCGTTTTGTTTTGTTTTGTTTTGCTTTGCTGTTGTTATTTTGGGGATTTGGGGTTTTGTTTGATTGTTTTTATTGTTGTGTTTGCCTTCCCTACATTGGTGCACTACAAAAACTTAAGTGTGAAAGGTCACTCAGAACCTCTAGGCATGCCCTTCCTTTGACAAATGCCTCCCATCTTCTGCTTGAACAGTCACAGTGACTCGAGCCTATTCATTTAGCCCAGATGCCTGACCCATCATAGTTACAATTGGCAACTCGTTCCATGACATGAAGGCGGTCTCAACCAAGTTTAAGGCTTAATAGGCAAAGAAAAGCAAAGAGCAAATTCTTACTATGGTAGAAATGACTTAATTGCATAAGACTGATGAATCAAAGACCTGTACCCCTGAAACAAATAATTCATGTTAATAAAAACAAATAAATAATTTTTTAAAGTAGCTTTTGATGGAGCGTGGGAAGAGGTGTAAAAGGATTTTGGCAGAGAGGAAGACCAAAGAGAATACAAAGGAACTACCATTTACAGAGGAGAAATGAGGAGCGCCTGGCTGGCTCAGCTGGTTAAGCATCTGACACTTGGTTTCAGCTCAGGTCATGATCTTGGGGGCTTGGGATTGAGCCCCATCTCAGCTCCATGCCCAGCATGCAGTCTGCTTTGGATTTTCTCTCCCTCTCCTTCCCCCTCTGTCCCTCCCCTCTGCTTTCTTGCACTCTCTCTCTAAAAATAAATAAATAAAATCCTTAAAAAAATAATAATGAAAGAGGAGAAATGGTCCCAAACTGCAAATGGAAGAAAGTCTGACAGGGAACAACGATTGCTTAAAATTCCTTATGAACAAGATACATCCCTCATTACTGTCTATGATATAAAGAAATACCACAACGCAAAAGAGAAGCAGTTGCCAGATAGTCCTTACCAACTCTTTGAACTTCCCATTATGTTCAGAGCTAAGTGTAAAACTTGGATCTTTGGGGCATAACTGTCCATATTTATCTGAAAACTCCTGGATTTATTAATCATCCTAGTTGATGTTAAATCAAACAGAATTATGATGCTAAGTCTCAATGCAGATCACATAGTTTCATTTATCTTTGGACAAATGATATATCTAGGCCTTTATAATCACTGAACAAAGACATATAAACAAACAAACAAACATAAAGCCAAATTTCTGTACAAATAAGACAATTCAAACATGTACTATTAAAGAAATTACTGATTCTATTATTTGAGAATTCAAAATGCCACCCCTGATTTTGAAAGACTGGGTTTGTACATTTTTTTCTAATCAATGAAATGCACTGTAGAAAAAAATAGGTGTCTATTTCTGATTAGACCTTCAGATTTTAAGTAGACTTCAGTCCTAATCAAGGTAGACATTTTATTTGCACAAATCAAATTTTACTTTGCAGATGGAAGGTGGGTATGAAATGTGCATTGGTAAAAGTCAATCAGTAAAAAACCTGAATTATAGATTTTTCTTTTCATTAGAGATAACCCAGAGATGAAGGAGATAGAGATGGATGGGACAGAAATAAAGGCAGGGGCAACCAAACAAACAAAAACAAAAGGCCTTTACCAATAGTTAGAACTTGTGAACAGAGGAGAGACACTGACATCTGTTGAAAATCCACTATGGGGTGGGGACTTTGCTAAGATTTTTACCATGCTATCTCATTTAGCTCTTGTAACAATTCCTCAGATGCATATTATTATCTCCAGGGTATACATGAAGAAACAAATGCTCAGAAATGGTCACGTTGGTTTTCCAAACTCATTTTCACTCAATTCTTAGAACCCATTTGAAACAATAATGTAATATGGTGGTCAGTCAGATGGATCCACAGGTGATCTGATTCTACATTCCACTGACTGAGGGAGTTTTGTTGGCTTGGAAGGATGAACATTCAAGTGTTACCCATCCCCCCACTTATCCCCACCCCTCCGCTCCAAAAAACTTCATTAAAGAAGATGTCTTGCCCAGGGGTGAAAGATTAAATGATCCTCTACTCAAAGTATACAAATTACTGAGCTTTTCTTCTGGATTCTTTGAAGCCGGAAACCTTACTGAACCAACTGAGTATCCAAAATGGAGTTCTAAGTACAGTCTCCATTTAATATTCTGGATTCTGTAGGAGGAAAGAGGTGCTTCTTTCTGTTATTATGTAAATTCTATTATATGAATATATTACTGCTATTCTGTAGCAGAAAAGAGATGCCTCTTTCTCTTATTATATGAATATATTATTATGTGAATATATGTGAATATATTCCTTTATCATTGTAAAGACCATGGCATTCCTAATAGTCTGCTGGTAAAAGTCACAGATTCTAGAATCTCAAGGTAAGACACAAAGATAACCATCTTCTTGGTGTCATTTGCAATTAAAGCCCTTAGAGCTAAGATAGGCCTTAGGATGAATAGAGCACTTATTAAAGGAAAGGAATCAAGTGTTAAACTTGGTTTTTATCCTAACTCTGGACTGGTGGCCTGTCTTCTCTATCCTGCATGATTTCCCTGGTTTCATGGCCCAGGTTATTACACAAAAGATAAAATTCAAACTGTATACATTGACCTCATTCATCTTTTTAACCTTCTTTTCCACTGTCCCCAGAGTGTGATGGGTTAGTAGCCTGATGTGCTGGAAGGAGAGTATTTATAAGAGACAGATTAGAACCAAAGAGGTGGGTGAGGAGGCCCCTGCAATAGTCCTTGAGAGCCATGATGAGGGCCTGTAAGGGAGTCAGAGTGATAGCTGAGTGAAGCGACTAGCCAAGAGTCCAACCTAGCCATGCATCAGCCATAGGGCACCATGAAACTTTACTCTCTCTAACTGGGGGATATGTCAAGCAATGATCTTACCTGACATCCAGAATAAATTCTTCCACATGTCTGTCTCCTATTTTGTTACAGTGGTCTTAAGGAAAATGCCAGATTTCCACTGCCCTTCACTTAGCCATAACTACTCACTCTGTCAAGAGCCAGAAGCCTTGAATTTTCTCTCCAGAAGTCTCGGCTATGTGCCTTTTCAAGTCTTCCATGGCAGTCTCAATGGCCCCTGGCTGGATGGAAAAAAGAAAACACCTAGTTTAGAGAAAACTGAGCCCTCTTTGTGCTTATGATTAGTGAGTATAACCCACAGCCTCCTCCGGAAAGTCGATGGGAAGGATAGCTCTTGCATTTGTCTGTTTGTTCTAGGCACAGCCTGCCGGGGAGCTGAGTCTTGAACTCTGATATTTACAAAGCTGTTCTCCTTGAATGGGACCAAAGTGATCCAAGTGCTGTCTCCCATGATCGAACTCATACTTTCTCACAGAAATGAAGACAGCCATTTTCAGAGGACCAGTTTTCCTCAATAAACATGTTTAACAGAAATTTCAAAACATTTAGCAATATATACATTTTTAAAGTCAAACGTTTCTCTCTTCAAAGAGCACATGGCAATAAAACACCTAAGAGAAATCCTTTTCTAATATTTTGACTATAATTGTAGCTGGCTCTGGGCAATTAGCTTTTTTGTCTCATTATCTTGCATTCTTTACTCTTCTCCAAACAGGTGCTCCCACGCATGGGCCTACCTCTAGTTAAAAGTTGATTAACCCTTTTCCTGATAAGATACTCAGAGATCTCTAGCTCAGTGATCCCTAAACTTTCAGTGCACATCAGAATCAGAAACACAGATGTCTGGGCACTGTTTCCAGCTTTTCTGATTTAGTAGGTCTGGAATGGGCCCGAGAATTTACATTTCCAGCAAGTTCCCAGGTGGTGCTGTTGGTGTGGGCTATACTATGAGAACTATTGTTCTCTAGACCGTTATCCTCAACCTTGGCTACACATCAAAATCACTAGGGGATCTTTTAAAAATCCTAATGCCCAAGCTGCACACCAGGGCAATGATATCCAGATTCTCAGTGGATGGGACTCACATATCAGTACACCAGGATTTTTTAAAGTGTCCCAGATAACTCTAATGTGTAGACAAGTTTGAGAACCACTACAGCCCAGAGATTATCTAGCCTGAGCAATTTCATTTTATAGGTGTGGAAATGGGGGCCATTGTGGGGAAGTAAGTTGTCAAGTTCATTCAGTTAAGAAGTAGTAGAGACAAGACAAGAAAACAGACATTTCATTGCCCCGCCTACAAGGCAATGCTGGCCTCATCCTCATTCCTGAGCTACTGACAAGTAGGTTGTCAGTTCTTGAATATTCTCTGTGTAACAGGACTTTGATACTAATCACCTAATCTTTTCTAAATATTAACATTCCTAATCCCCCAGCCTGAGACCCTTCGCTCATGAAAGGAAATCAGGACACTAGTCTGGCCTAGGACCCATTCAAATGCCTTTTCCTCTTGGAGGTAGAGAGGTGGTAGATTTGGGTTTGCTCGCTTTCTCAGTCCTGTGATGAAAGGCTTGGAACATTTTGGCCACAGAGTCCATTGGTCAAGAAAAAGACCTTAGAATAGGAGAATCCATATACAAAAAAAAAAAAAAAAAAAAAAACCAGGAAAAGAATGGCACTGTTTCAGATGAAGTGATAGGAACGGCAAGGAGCTTTCCCAACTTAGCTCTGCCCCTCCCCCTCCAACTCACTGGACAGAGCCCAAGTCATCCAGGAAATATCCATTAAACAGTGTCAAGTGACCTGGGCTCCTGTTCCAGATCTGTCGTAAATCAGTTCTGTGATCTGTAGCTAATGGTTTGAGCTTCCTTAGCCTACATTTCCTTATCTACAAAGACAAATGAGGAGACTGAACCAATGCTTTCCAAGCCAAACTGATGATGGAAGCCTCCTGGAAGTCTTTAAGAAAATATGATCATAGCCCCGATGCTGAGACATTCTGAGTTCCTCATTTTAACACATTTCCTGCTGAATGGAACAGTCAGCCAGTGGACTGAATGATTTCTGACTCCTTTGTCATTCTCAGCTGCTGGTTCATGGGTTGTCAGGGAGCTAACATGGCTGCCTATGTCTGCTGGAAACTATAAGTCATAAAATCAGTTAGTTCTGGAGGATTAATCAAGTAGGCCTTGAGCCTCCGCTGACAGAGAAGGTTGTCCCAACATCACTGTTCTACCCACTGGCAGGACCAAACTAGGCTGGAGAGAAATCCCTTATGATCCCATGACAATGCTCCCATCTCCCAACCTGAGCTCCCCGGGGTACAGCCTGACTGCACCAGACCTACTGCTCAAAATTATCCTTTCTTTGATGACTCATCAGGCTATTTTTCCTATCTCTCCTCTTATATCCACATAATTTCTTCCTCTAGCTAACATAGCTCAGTAGTGAAACTAATACTTTTCAGAAGAAGAAAAAAAAACTGTAAGTGAAATTGGAGAATAATGAAATAATCCTAAAATAAGCATTTTGTTGAATGCTTTTGCACCAGGCACTTTGCCAGAACATGTGAAGTTGAATATAAAATTGTAGAGTTTCTCAAAACCTTACTTGTTTTTCCTATGGAAAGCAATTGGCAAAATCTATTAAAATGATCTATCCTTTGATCTACACATTCCACTTCTGTGAAGTCATACTATGTCTGCTCTTGCATATGTGAAAAATGACAGATGTATAGACAGCGTTCTCCACAGACTTATTTGTGAATAGCAAAATTTTGGAAACAAGGCAAATATCTATCCGTAGGGGACTTGTTAGATATAATAGGGGACACATCCATACAATGGAACATGATGAATATGCAAAAACAATTAGAAAATCTATGCTAATATGGAAAGATTTCAAAATGTATTACTAAGTGAATGAAAAAATGTTCAGAAGAAAGGGATAATATGCCATATTTTTTTATAAAAGAGAGGAGAACAGATAAGGATAAATATTTGCACGTGCTTATCTATGCTAAGGCAACTCTAGAAGGATACCTAGAAAATGTTAATTGTGGTCCCCATAAGGGGGGAGGCACTTGATGGGACGGTGGCTAGAGGTGACGTTCTACTGTACACCTTTTCCAAAACCTAAACATTGGACATCACTGTGGTTTTTATGAAATGGCTGGGAAGTCTCTAGAGTTCTGTCAGTGAGTGTCCTCACTGAGTGTGGTGTCATCACACCTTTAGCAGAAATAGTCGTTGGGCATTTATGAAACAGTTAGTTAATCACTGTATCTTAATATTCTACTCTCCTCTGTTTGCCATTGTTAGTTAACTGGAATAAATTAACTGCTGCCATTCGATGTAGAAAATGAGATAGTGTGTGAACACTCTGACTTGTGTCCAGGACAAGGTTTAGATCTCAAACTTTCTGCTCACCATGAGACCCATATTAAGTCCTTATTATTCCAGATATCAGTTTACTCATTTGCTGGGTGGGTAAGATAATATTAACTGTAATAGAGCTGTTGGGAAATGCCAAAAACATATGGAACATTGAATAATAGAACACTGTATTTTCATTCTTATTGTTACTATTAAATGCAGGGAAAATAGTTGTGCCAGGATTTGGGGGTCGAATGGTCACGGCAATGGAACAATTAGCTCGAAGACGCCATGCTGCCTAAGACTAATAGGAAAGTACAATGGAATAATAAGTACCCATCATTCAATATGTACATATTTCTAATGTTAAATTTGAAGAAAAATTATGAGGGGGATCCTTATTTATAAGTTATTACACAGCTGAGTAGGCAATATCTGTTCTAATATTTCAGCGCTGAGTATCATCAGTCAAAACAAACCTATTAAGGGAATTTCAAAGACGTGTGTGTGTGTGTGTGTGTGTTTCCCTATCTTTCCTGAAACTAGACTAGCCAGGGGCCAGTTGTCACACAAATAATACTCCCATCTGCTGGTAATAGTTTACCATGTACTAGATCCTTAGACCATAAGAGGAGAGGGCAGCACAGAAAGGAGTGCTCCCAGGGACTCACACACAGTAAGATCTCTCTTGTGGATACCATCATGCCCAGATAGAAATCACTCCGTGGTAAACACATACGGGAAGAAAAACAGCTCTAAATTGGATGCAATTTGTGAAGTCCAGGGCAAATTTGTCTCTCTTTGAGAATAAAGGAAATGTTTCTTATTTTATTATTGGTAAGTGCCTGCCCTCAGAAAGAAACATCACTTTTATTACAATCTTCAAGGGATTTCACTGTAAGGAGGGGAATCAAGAAAACTTTTGCCCAGTGAGATGTGTAATTTCTAGACCAGGAAGGAGCTCACACAGATAATAACAATACAACTAATATATTTAGTTGTTCCCAGTGCAAGAGCAAGACACAGGGAACCCTATAGTAAGAGAAGAGGGGAAGGGAGAGAGTATGAAAGCCAAATTAGTGTCATGAAAGCAATGACATCTTGCTACACAATGGGAAGTCCCAAACCTGCTTATTAAAGTCTCGTTCCTCACAATAGACCACAGGCTATAAAAAGGCCATGGGGAACCATTAATTAAATATTAAAAGATCAAATAGTTTTAGTCCCATTAGTTTGTATGTAATTTACATTCTCAAGTATAAATTTAGAGATAATTCCCCATCCCTAATCGCTTTCAACTTTCTGATAAGGTATCTGCAAATATAGAGTCCTACAGGGAGTTTAAAAATATCTTTCCCCATGCGTATCAAGAATTGTTCCTTTCATAAGAAGTTGCTTTTGAATATCAGTCTCCACAACTAAAGGGATTATCATAATATACCTCGAGTTATTAGCCTTGAGTGGTACTTTTGTTCAGAAAAGGCACTAGGCCTTTTTTAGATATGTCTAAGCAATAAAATAGCAAATGAACAAAAACAGGAGGAAAAAATTATCCAAGCAGAGTATGGCAAGTGCTTCAGACATAAATTCCTATGAACTCTCATTCATTGTCCAAGGTCAGAGGCTCTGGAGGGGTGGTAAAAAAGTGTCAGGAGTCCTGGCTCTTAGTCTTGGCATGGCCCTTAACTGCTGGTTGACTTTGGACAAGTCACATCTTCTTTGTGTGTTTCAGGGGTTGGACTGGATATTCCTCTAAGGCCCCTTCTGGCTCTGAGCAAGGATGTCTCTATGTTGGAAGGCCACATTTCAGGAAATAAATAATAGTCTGGAAGTCTGTGGATAGGAAG